GCAGCCCGCCCCCCCCCCCCGCCCCCCCTTTCTCCCCCGGCCTAGCCTGCCACTGGCCCATGGTCGCCTCCTCTGCGCCCTGGAGCTGGTGGCCACTGGTGAGGCACCTGGGGCGCTGCTCAGCCCTGCCGCCCTCCCCCGTCATGGCTGGGCCGAAGCAGACGTCCCCCCTTACCTGGTGCTGGGGAATGGCAGTGTGGGGAGCCTGGCACTGCGGCATGTCTGTGTGCGTGCCGGCCGGGCAGGGGGCCACAATGCCCCAGTGGCCCCCAGCCCCCCCTTCCTCCTCCTTTACCTCAAGGACACCCAGGCTGGGCTGGCACCTCTGGCGGCAGAGCCCCACCGGCACCGGCGTGACACAGGGACACTGGCCCATGACCTGCCCGGCTACTTGCGGGAGCAGGGAGGGGAGAAGAGCGACTGCTCCCTGCACCCCTTCCCTGTCAGCTTCGCCCAGCTGGGCTGGGACCACTGGATCATTGCTCCCCACCGCTACAACCCGCGCTACTGCAAGGGCGCTTGTCCCCGCCTGCTCCGCTACGACTACCACGCGCCCAACCACGCCGTGGTGCAGAGCTTCGTCCATCAGCTGGTGGATGCCAACGTGCCCCGGCCCTCCTGTGTCCCCTACCGCTACAGCCCCATCAGCGTCCTCATGATAGAGCGTGACGGCGGCATCCTCTACAAGGAGTATGAGAACATGATCGCAGAGTCCTGCACCTGCCGGTAATGCCTGCTGCCCTGGCACATCACCCCCAGGCTCTGCCTGTCCCTGCCAGATCTGGACTTTAGGGTTTGTCTTGCTCTGCCTGGGGTGGGTTCGTCTCCCCTCCCCATGCAGCACTGCTTTGCGGGAAGGTTTTACAATGGCAGTTTTATGTAAATTGTAGGTTTTTAAAGGCAGAAGCCTGTGCTGGGGCGGTTGCCCCATGGCATCTGTCCTTCCTGCAGCCCCATGGCCGCTGCCTGTTTTTGGGGGGCGGGGGGGCTTGGCCCGATACTCCCAGAGAAGAGCTGGGTCCCTGCACTGGAGCACAAAGCTCTTAGGAGGTGGCTGGGGGTCTCCTGGTGGAGCCAGGGCAGGGAGGGCAAGTGGTCCAGGTTCCCCATGCTTGGCACCAAGCTGGTGCTGTCAGTATCTGGCGCAACCCTGCCCATGGGATTCCTTCACAGCTCACATGTGCCCCATCTTGTCTAGTCCCAGCTGTGGCAGCATCTCACCAGGCTGGGAATTGGGCTGGGGGGGAGAAAGCCCCTCTCCTCCCCTGCAGTTCTGCTCTGGGGGGGGCTGTGAAAACTGGAGGGACCTGAGCTGTGAGCTCGGCTCCCAGTGCCAGGGGCCAGGCAGCTGCCTGCGCTGGGCTCTGCCCGCTGTGTTTTTGCCGCCCCTGTCCTTCACCTCCTTGGCTTGCCCTCTAGCAGGGCTCAGGTCTCACCCTATCCCAGGGGTTAGACCCCTGTTGTGGTATCCCTCTGCCTTCTCGCACCCTTGCTGTCCCATGGGGCTCAGGCTCTGCTGGGCTCCTGGCCTGTCCCTGTTCCTGGGGGTTCGGTCCCAGTCCCAGCATCCCTGCTGCCTGGCTTTCCTCTATTTATTGCAGACTGTGTAAATAAATTGATGGATTTTGCTAAAGATCATCTTGGCCTGTTCTTGCTCTGTCCCTGGGGTGCAGCGGGTGCCCCCTAGGACAGTCTGGTGTAGGTTGTGTCACCATGCAGCCACCCTTGTGCTTGCACTGGAGGGCGTGGGTGCTGCTCCCTGCTATGTGCAGGGGGTAAATCCCAGCTGGTTCAAGCAGGAGCTGGGAGAAGAGGCTCCCCTGGAGTACAGACCTGCCCTGGGGCAGGGGGGACCAGATGTGGCTGCAGGCAGCTGCCTTGGTGGGGCTGGGGACAAGAGATGCCCCACATTCCTCTGTCTGGGGCAGCTCCCAGGGGACCATGGGGGGCCAATGAGCTGGATCTCCCTGGGCTGTCTGTCACCGCAGCCAAGGCATTTGGCTGCCAGGGTTATTTTGGGAAGGTGTCTGCAGGCAAACCTGCCTGTTCCTGGGCACGATGCCCTGTGTTTGCAAAGCTGGGGCAAAGTTCCCCTTCTTTGAGCAGCGAGGCATGGGTGGAAGCCATAGTCCTTGCCCCCAGTGCTTGGTGGCACTGCCATCTGGGTACTGCCTCTGCATCCTCAGCTCATGGCTCTTGCCAGGGTCTCATCTCTTGCTTGGCCTTCAGCCCTATCTGTTATTGCTGGTCCAAGCTCCATCAGGATGTTTCAGCACTTCTTCCCTGCTGTGGGGCAGGGTGCTGCCAGCCCCCATCCCTCCCCTACCCACCACCCCTGAAGTTTCTCCCCCATCCTGGCAGAGTGAGAAGCCGCAGAGCCCCAGGCTCCTCTCCTGCCCCTTGTCACCAGTTGGCCACATCCTGGTCACCTCCAGCCAGGAGGCTGTGGGGAGGGGAACGTCTTCTGCCTTTTTGGAAGCTCATGGACCTGACCCCAGGGGGAAGATTTTCCCTTGTCAATCATTAAGCATGTGGTGTTGACTCATCCAGGCAAGCGATGATGAAAGGCATGGGAGTTGGGCATGCTCCTAGCCCTGGGCACCACTGGATGCCAGTGCCCGGTGCTGCCCCTGACAGGCACCTGCACCCCAGCCTGCTGTGGGCACCCCTCAGACCTGCTGGGCGCCCAGAGATCCATGGGGACTGGGGTTTGTCTGTCCCAGTCCTGTGTCCTCGTATGCACTGTGCCAATGGGCTCTTGTGCCCCTCGGGCTGGACTTCTTCCTGGGGTACCCCCAGGTGCTGGTGGGTTGGCCCCAGCAGCATGATCTCCTCTGCACTGATGGGGAGGCAGGCGCTGCCAAAGGGACAGAGGAGC